GACATTCAATGGCAGATAAATTTGAATATCATCTGCATAACAGTGAAAAGACAACCCATATTTCATAAAAATCGATCCAAGGGGAAGTAAATACAAAGAAAAGAGGACTGGCCCCAGGATGGATCCCTGAGGAACACCACAGTTCAAAGGAACAACAGAAGAAGAGAACTCATCAATATGTACAGCAAAACTCCTATCAGACAAATATAATTCAAACCATTCAAGAACATTACCATGAAGTCCTACAGAGTGCTGCAGACGGGACAACAAAATACGATGGTCTACTGTGTCAAAAGCAGCCGAAAGATCTAGGAGAATCAAAAGAGCAGTATTACCTTCATCCACAGTCCACACAAGATTATTAAATACTCGCAACAGCGCTGATTCGGTATTATGGTGTGTCTTAAAACCAGACTGGAACTTTTCAAATATGCCATTATTCTCTAAAAAAGTCTGTAACTGTATAAAAATCGTTTTCTCTAAAATCTGTTAGGTATTTTTAGGCAGATAGACAATGGTTAGACACTTCATGTATTAGAAATGTTTAGTGTAGACAGGATGTCTAGCTCAGGCTGTTAAATGCTTAGTCATTCCCATGGGGTACTCCAGGTTGTTTATGTTCAAGGATAACTGGATAGAAAGTTGATTACTGTAAGGAGACAGAATGTTTTTTATTATTATTATTATTATGACGTGTTTAATCATAATCGTAATCATAATATTTTCTTATGTTTAATGTCATGACATGTCACTAGATGTCATGTCAGAATGTCTTAGATACACACCACACAATCAACAGACAATCACACATTGATTTTCTTCATGCTTTGACTACTGCTAGGGTCAGCTGCAAAACTGGCAACGGAGACGTCATGGTTTGGCGTCCCTGAGTAGTATGGGCTAGCCCAAAGTGATATAATGTATAGGCCTGTTATGGTTCAGGGCTTTCCATCTTCAAGCTGCCTGCGTGCATGTTGAAGGTGCAAAGACTCCTGAGCGTGTAATGTTAATTTTACCTGTGATCATTGAATAAATCAGCACTGTTTTGAAGTTACTTAGACTGCTTCGTCTCTCAGAGTTAACGTGGTGAAAAGAACGGGGGTCCAACAAATCTTAGACAAAAATGGTAGCTTAGAAACTGGTCTAAAATTCGATAAAACAGTACTATCAAGATTGGGTTTTTTAAGAATTGGTTGAACCGCTGCATGTTTAAGTGCCGTTGGGACAATCCCAGAAGTCAAAGAGCCATTAATAAGATTGACAATGTCCAAACCAATACTATGAAAAACCTCTTTAAACAGAGCTCCCCGCATAATGTCCAAAGGACAATAAGAGGGTTTCACAAGCTGAACTACTTTCATAAGAGCAGCTAATGAAATAGGCTCAAACTGATCAAAAACAGCTGAGCATATAGGAGCAACAGAAGGATCCAGAACAGAATCATCAATCTGGGATCTGATCATAACAATTTTATCCACAAAAAATTGAAGAAACTCATTACAAGTAGCAGAGGACACATCCGTCCAAGCAGCAGTAGATGGATATAGACATATAGACCGCATTTATGGTGCTGAACAACACCCTGGGTTTATGACAAGTGTTTACAATAAGCTGGGAAAAATATTGAGCTCTAGCAAGTTTAACAGCACTTTGATAATCTCTTAATCGCTTTTTTAAAATATCCAGCAAAATGTGAAGACGATCTTTTTTCCACTGCCGCTCAGCCACCTACAAACCAGTGAATGGGTGTTTTCATTTAGCCAAGGTTCAGACTTAATTCTGGCTCGTTTATTCCTAAAAGGAGCACACGAGTCAAGGATATCCGTGCATGTAGAGCTAAACCGAGCTAATAACTCATCTACGGTCTCATGACCAGTATTCAGTGACATACGAGGCTGTAAATCATTATACGTAGCGGAAAACAACTCAGCTGTCTTAGGAGTAAGCAAGCGACATCGCCGGACAGGCATACTTGAAGTAGTTATACAGTAAGAGACTGTAGCATCGAATAAAACAGGGAAATGATCAGAAATCCCCACATCACAAATATCAGTCACACAGACAGGGACACCAA